GGTAATCTTATGGTACTTTGTACATCTTATGGTATCTTATGGTAATCTTATGGTACTCTTATGGTAATCTTATGGTACTTTTATGGTAGCCTTATGGTATCTTATGGTAATCTTATGGTACTCTTATGGTAATCTTATGGTACTTTGTACATCTTATGGTATCTTATGGTAATCTTATGGTACTTTGTACATCTTATGGTATCTTATGGTAATCTTATGGTACTTTGTACATCTTATGGTATCTTATGGTAATCTTATGGTACTCTTATGGTAATCTTATGGTACTTTATACATTTCAAGATTCAAACCCACCAGTGTAAATTTTTTGCAGTCCAGCTAGAAAACTCAAATTCTTATAAATTGTGTTTTTAATTTCCAAGACTCCTTTTAAGATTTTCATATCCTTGAAAGCAGTTTTAAACTGCTCAGCGCTCAAATTAGTTGTCCCATCTATATAGATATAGGCGCAAACTGTGGAGCAATTTCTTGGAAATGAACCAATATTTAAAGATGTTAACGTTGCAGTTGGAGAGACACATTTTGGATCTGGAATTTTTTATTATTTTTCAGAGTTTTCTGGAATTTTATCAAATTCACCACAATCAGTTTTAGTTTGGGCGCTTGAAAGCTTCAGAAAACAAAAAAGAATACAGAATAGAACGCAATTTTTCATTTTCAAAGATATAATAGAACAAACATATTGACCGGTGTTTTTAAATGAATAAAAAATGGGCGGATATATCTGCAAGATTATCCCTTAAATGCACTAAAAACAGGTTCAGGAGGTCAAAAGATTTATTTATTTCAAAAAGTACCCAAATTCAAAACAATCCGTCATCGTTCCCTCCAGTTTGCAGTGTTTTGTTGGTCGACTTTTGTGAGGTTTTCTGGAATTTTCGATTTTCGTTCAATTTAAGCTAAATTATCTCGGCGCCTACAAAAGAATCAAAAATCTGTCAACTGATCAAATATTGGTGATATTATGATGAACATTTTATAAGTTTACAGCTGTTCGATATCTCGTTTAGGAACCGAGATAATTGAGCTCGAAGTTTGGACGGGTCGTTGGCGGGCTATTGGCGGCTCAACTCTACCTTACTTAGTTAGTTTTTAGCAGGGTTGCGGATTGACGGGCCGGCCCGTCGGCCCGGCCCGTCAGAAAAAATTTCCGGCCCGGCCCGGCCCGTCGGTCCGTCCATAGCTTTTTCAGAGAAAAATTTTTTTGATGAAAAATTTTTTCAGCGAACGGGTGAAAAACAACAACGAAAACAAGACATAAACAACCTGTAAACAACCTGTAAACAACTTGTAAACAACTTAAAGGCGCACCGTAAATCGAAACCAAATTTTTTCAATTTAATTCCTAAAATTTTTCGGATTTTTTTTTCTCAGTTTTTGCCCGATTTCGTGAATTTTTCTTGCGTTTTTCAGGTGATATAATGACATCGAATCTTCAAAAAATGGTCAAGGCCCAGGATCCTAAGATCAAATTCGAAAGTTTTTATTAAAATAGTAGTAACACTAATCCAATAAAATTTTCAGGGGGACCAGTTTCGTTTTCCGGAAGTTCTTCGAGTGCTGCTCTACGACGATGAATCAGATGAGTATGTTGAGACTGGAAAAGCTGCCTGTCAAAACTGTCTGACCTTGCTCACTGTTTCCGACGGAGACCATGTTCGACGCCATGTGAAAGAACGTTGCAAGCAAAGAAAAAGAGTTGTGGAAAATACGGAAAACGAAAAAGAAGAAGAGCCGGTTTTTAAGAATCGAAAAATTTCTGGTAAACTTTTTCAAATTTGGAAGAGATTTATAATTAATTTTCAGAATATTCGACGAAAAAACTCAAAGAATCTGATCTCACCAAAATCTACAAAGCTCTTTCGAAATACTGTCTTAGAACCGGGCGAAGCTTTAATCATATGAGCTCAGCTATGAAATCCCTCTAGATAAAATAATCTTCTAGATAAAACTAGATCTCGTCTGGCCTACACAAAAGCAGAAATCGTCGTAGTCGGGGCTCAATTGGCAACGAAATTTCCAGATTGGCTCAACTGATTTTTTGGATCTTCATATATTTTTTTGTTTTTTTTGTTACTCTTGTTGTTTTTAAAATAAATCGGTTCATGAAAAATTTGTATCCCGGATTAAAACCTCAAGTGGGTAATTGATAACGTGAATAAAAAACTTTCATTCAAATCGGTTGAGTTTGAGCTGAGTTACAGTCCCGAACATACATGTTTTTTAGAAAATCGGCTCGGCCCGGCCCGGCCCGGCCCGGCCCGTCGCAACCCTGGTTTTTAGTGTTTACGGTAGTTTCTTTTGAGCTCAATTATCTCGGTACCTATAAGATATATCATGAATTTGTCAAATATTGGTGATATTATGATAAGTAAATTATCAGTTGAAAATCTTTGGCAGGGATCAAAAAAATGACCTCAAAGTTAAAAGTCAGAAGTCCTTCTATTACAGGTTTTGCGGTAGGTCTAATTACCGTAAGACCTGGATTAGAAGGTACGTGTCTTTCTAACACAGGGTTTACGGTAGTCTTAAACCCAACAAACCACAATTTTTCCCATCAAACTTTGGAATTTCGTTTTCTGGAACATAAAGAGCAGATCTGAGAGCATAGCAAGATTTCGAATCTTCCAGGAGTGATTTGTGATTGTTTTTGAAGATAATAGCATCGACAAGATGGTTATTGACTGGGTCCCAAGTGTTGGAGAGGATTCCCTGGAACATTTTTTATTTGAAAATTTGAAAAAATTTAAAAACTTGGGTTTCATTATTAATCATTGCAAAAATTGATAATTGACACAAGGGAAGTTTCATAAAGGCTTTAAAAATTGTCGAATTGTTTAGTTTTTCCAAAATTTATTTTGGCACAATTTTGAATAATTCTAATTTTTATATATACCGTCCACCCGGACCGTCCTTTTTGAGCCTAATTATCTCACTTCTTTTGAAAGATATCAAAAAGTAGTCAACTGTTAAAATGTTTATCATGACATCAGCAATATTTAGTCTATCACTTTTTGATATCTCTCACAGAAAATGAGATACATTGGCTCAAATTTGACAATTTGGGTGGCGTTCTATTAGAGTGTTTACGGTAGTTTTTAGCTCACAAATAACAATACTGGCATATTGATTTTTATTCAAAAATTTTAGTTTTTTACCTTTAATTTTGGAAACGCTGCACTTATCAAATTCTTATTCCCTTAAACATCAATTGCAGTTTTCTTGTCTGAAAAATGGAAAAATTTGAAAAAAATCCTATTTTTTAAACCTTACCATCCAATTGAACGATATAAGTCAAACTTCCCTAAAACTTGAAATCCGTCAAACTCGAATTTTTGACAATTAGACTTCCATACAAAAATTTCAAGTTTTTCACTTTTTTTAAAGCGAAATTCGAACCAATGTTCAAATCTCTGTATAGTTCCTCACACGGTTCATCAGGAATTTTACAATTTTTTTTCGTAAAACTTTTCGGAGCACAAACTTTCCCATTCATGTGAATTTCATCGTTCGGCAGTTTTTTGGCCAGAAACACTTAAAATTTGAGGAGTTATGCAAAAATTTGATGGATGATTGTTCGCGATGTAAGTTATACTTGTTGGAGATGAAAATGTCTGGAAAATAATTTTTAGGAAAATTTAATCAAAAAATTTAAGACACAATCTCTGAGAAATTCGAAATCACCATGGAAACGGAAAAAAGTGAAAATGGTCCTAGGAGTCTGATATTGTAGGTGGTAGGGGCTACTCTATGACTTTTGACCATATCACCCATAGGCCACGCCCCCTCCTGGGCGCGAAATACTACCGTAACCCCTACTGTTCAAAACAATGTTCAAAACAACGACTCAAATGTTTCAGAGTTCAGTTTTGGTACTATTATGACCATTTTTTTGTGTTGGGATCCATTTTCTACAGTAACCCTGAGATAATTCAGGTAATTCAGATAATTTAAGTATAGGTCCAACGTATTGAATTATCGAGGTTTAGTTCGGTAATGACCGGAAGATTTCCGAGAAATCCCAAAAAAAAGTGAAAAAATTCAAAAAAGTGAAATTTACTGGACTTCAAGGTTACTGTGTTTCCGAGGTTACGGTAGTATTTCGGGCCAATGAGGGGGCGTAGCCTATGGGTACCATGGTCAAAAGTGTTACAGTACCCACCACATACAATATCAAACTCCTATGACCATTTTGAATTTTTCCATTGCCATCACCACGATCTCAATTCTCTCAAAGATTTTGTCTTAACTACCTTGAAGTTTGGCATGTTTAATTGCGCCATCTTCTTGTTGCCATATAAGAAGTAGTGAATTTCAAAATTTTCAATTCTCGGAGGAAAAATCAAAAATGAATCAAATTTCTGTAATTTATCACAGAAAAATTTCAACTTCTGATAAATAGCATAATCGCTGGGTTTTTTATCAGAAATATTTTATTTCAACGTAATCACGGGAAATATGGTATTAATTACATTATTTTTGCTGATTTTCAGTTTTTTAATTTTTATGGTTTTTAGTTGGCTTTCAGAAAAGGAACACTTCAATTTTTGCAAAAATATACGTGGTTCACAGAAATATAACGTTTCAATTTCTGGGATTTTTCCCAGAATTCGAACGGTTCGAGTTCTGGGATTTTGGGGATATTCACGTGATTCACAGAATTCGAACGGTTCGAGTTCTGGGATTTTGGGGATATTCACGTGATTCACAGAATTCGAACGGTTCGAGTTCTGGGATTCCAAAAAAAGAGAAACGAATGTGGAAAAAGGGGGCATAAAAATTATAATGATGGGAGATAAAAACAAAAGAAACATGAAGAAGTGTGCTAGTTTCCCATTATCATGTCATCCGTAACAACTGGATTCGGTGGCATTCTTCCAGCATTGAATCCTTGAGATTTCAAATATTGCAGAATCGTCGTGTGTTCAGTGTCAAAATCAATGTTTCCGTGAGATGGCGTGGTTGATGATGATTTTTCTTTGATAAGTTGCAACGTTCTTAGATAAGCTGCAGAACCAAAGATAATTCAAGTATTCAACTTTACGTACATTTCTTTCCATAGCTGGAAACTGAATCTTCAAAATTGTCCTTGTTGTTTTGCGAGAACATTGATCCTCCATGTTTGAAGAGAGCCAAGCATTTCTCCTGAACACCTTCAATACATGGACGGCGAATGTCAGGTTGGAATGTTGATGGATCATAGGTATCCTGAATGATCCAGTTTTTACTTGTATAAATTCACACGCAACATAGATATATATTCACACGCGACATAGATATTAGATTACACGTATCGAGATACGTGCCAAGAGCTGATTGGATTTTTTGTTGATTGGTTTCTGTTGTTCTAGAATTCCTCTGTTCTACAGATTTTTTCTAATATAATATAGACATGCTGTTCAAAAGCAAGATAAAAGATAAAGTAATATTTTCTACGGTTTCTCCTATGATTACATTGCCGAGGGCATTGAATAAATCACGGATGGCTGTTATTATTGACAAAAGCTTCCTGAAAAAAAAGAATTGGAAAGTTGTGAGTTCATATTGAGTCTCTTCAAACATGGAGGATCAATGTTCTCGCAAAACAACAAGGACAATTTTGAAGATTCAGTTTCCAGCTATGGAAAGAAATGTACGTTAAGTTGATTACTTGAATTATCTTTGGTTCTGCAGCTTATCTAAGAACGTTGCAACTTATCAAAGAAAAATCATCATCTACCACGCCATCTCACGGAAACATTGATTTTGACACTGAACACACGACGATTCTGCAATATTTGAAATCTCAAGGATTCAATGCTGGAAGAATGCCACCGAATCCAGTTGTTACGGATGACATGATAATGGGAAACTAGCACACTTCTTCATGTTTCTTTTGTTTTTATCTTCCATCATTATAATTTTTATGCCCCCTTTTTCCACATTCGTTTCTCTTTTTTTGGAATCCCAGAACTCGAACCGTTCGAATTCTGTGAATCACGTGAATATCCCCAAAATCCCAGAACTCGAACCGTTCGAATTCTGTGAATCACGTGAATATCCCCAAAATCCCAGAACTCGAACCGTTCGAATTCTGGGAAAAATCCCAGAAATTGAAACGTTATATTTCTGTGAACCATTTGTATTTTTAATAAATGATTATAATACGTATAAAATAGAAAGTATGAAAAGTTGAAAACAGAAATAATCGAACCTTGAAAAAAAGTCAGAAAAGTCTGATCGTTTATTATGTGAAAAAACACGTTTTTTTTCGCTCTGCAAAGAAAATGCGAAATTACTGAAACTTCACAGAAATTTTGGAAATCGAAGTGTTTTGCGATGAAAACTAAAAATTTTGAAATTCACTACTTCTTATATACAGAAAAATATTGTCCGATTACTGTAGTCAAATTTTTCAAACCCAACTCCAACATTTCGTTATTTTCACTAATTTTGACAGGGACAAGATATTCTGAAAACGTTTTTCAACTTTGAAACAAAATCTCAAAAAAAATGTTTCAAAAAATAACCTGTTTCAATTTTCTGAATTCCCGCCAGAAAATTTAAATTCTTGAAAATTGTCCCAACCACAGATAAACGCCCTTTCAGAGTTTTCAGATTCTTAAAAGCGTTTTTCAATTGCAAATCAGTTTATTTCGTCCGATTAATGAATAATAGATTTCTACAAACTGTTGGACAATCTTTTGGAAATGAGCCAATAGTTTGAGGAATGAGATCATTGTGAAAATTGCATTTTGAATCTGAAATTTTGTGAAAAAATTTTTGTTCAAAATTTGAAACTAATACCACAAGTTGCAGCTCCTTTAGTTTCAGAGAAACAGTAAGAAATTATAAAAATTAGGTTGAAAATTTTCCAAATCATGGAGAACACAGTTGGACTGTGAATATATAAAATTTGAAAGTTTAAACAGTTGTGTGGTCGGATAATCTTGTGGGTGTGAGATTAATCTTTCTGAGGTCAAAAGATTCGAAAAAGGCGAAAAAAAACTCATCGACGGCCCTTGAAGTGCAAATTTGGTATTTGGATGATTTCAAAATTTGGAAAATATACAGGAAAAATCGGTTAAAAATCTGTTGATTAAAATGCGAAAATAATATTTAACTTGTAATTTTAAAATAAAAAAGCTTTAAATTGTCTCATAATCCAAATTAAGATTGGAAAACTGATGAAAAACTTTTTTTTCTGAAAACGAGATAGAGAAAAACTAACAAGTTTTGAATAGAATTTTGAACGCTTTTCAAAACCAATACACAAATTTTTGTTTGATCTACGGAACATTCAGTAAAGCGTATTTGCAATATATGAAATTATCTACGGAGATTTTCTCGCCCTTTTTTTGAAGCATTTAAAACTTTTCGGTCATTTTAGTACAAAATGAATTCGAACTTACTCACTGTTTTATTTATAGTTTCAACTTTTTGTTCAAACTTTTACAATGCGGAAAATGATTTTTCGGATTGTGGTAAATTTTTGAAAATTTCCAACTCAGAAAATTTACACTTTCAGATCCAAAATGTGTGTTTAAAACTGGAAATCTGACTTCAAAAAGTGTTTTGAATTATTTCCAAAAAATTGCCCAAAAGTTTGCTCCAGAATTTATATCGATTATTCAGCTAATCTGAGTGCTGAGCAATTGAAAACTGCTTTCAAGAATATGAAAACATTAGTTGGAGGACTGGAAATTTCATTTACAAGTTATAAAAGTCTCAAATTTCTAGCTGAATTGCAGAGAATCGAATCTAGTGAGTTCTGGATTTTTTTTTGAATAACGAATCTTTTTTTTCAGGAACTGGGGTTTATATAGCGGAAATGAGAAATTGGAAAAGCTGAGACTTACAGATTTGACCTCAGTCAATGGAACAGGCTTTACAGTTTCCGGAAATAAAAATTTGAAAAGATTGATACTTCCGAATTTAAAGGTGAATTTAGATATTCAAAAACGTATTTTCAAGTTGATTCTCGGCCATTTTGGCTATTTACAGGAGTCTCTAGCTCGATTTGAGTAGTGTAAAACAAGCCTAGATTAAAAACTTTGCAATATCGAAAACAAACGGAGAAGTGAATTTTCAAGATGTTTATGACAAAATATTGAAAAATCAAAAATTCGGAGTTTTTAGCTTCGAACTGAAACATGAACTTTTTTTTTATTTTCGACAATTTTTGGAAATTTTCGGAGACAAAATTTTTTTGACTGTAACCCACTTTAAATTGATCCAAAAGACCCAAAAACTGGAAATCTCGATTTTTGAAGTCTTTTGCTTTGAAATGAGCCCAAACACGACCCAATTCCTCCGAATTCAATTTTCGGCTAAAACACGCGACGCATGACCGCGACGCAGCAGTAATTTGAAAAATCGTCGGTTTTTGTCATGTTTGGGCTTATGTTGAAGCTCTCAACTTGCAAAATTAAATTTTTTGGGAAGTTTTATTTTGGCTCTCTTTATACTAAAAAAGTGGAAAAACAGGTGTCTTTCAGAAATGGGCAAATAGCTGAAAAACAAGGAATTTTTGAAAAATGCTATAAATGCAAAGTTTTGAACCTAGATCTGTTTAACACTCTCCGACTCTTTAGAATGATCGGAGGCTTGACAGCCGAGCTTTAAACTTTTGAAAAAGGTCAAAATGGCCGAAAATGAACTGCCTATCGACTTTTTTAGAATGTTCAATTAGCTGCTCCTTGGTCTTGGATGACTTCAATCTCCATAGCTGAAAATTCTCGAAACCTTTGCATGACTCTTCCAGAGGCCAAAACTTTGTTAAACTACAAAAAAATCAGCAATGTTTACATGGAAGGAAACATTTGTAACGCAGGAAATCTGGCCAAAAAATCTTGTATCGTTCCAAAAGTTGGCTGTGAGAATCTTGTGGGAGATTTGAAAATCGGGCCGAAATTCGGTTTTAAAAAAGTGACATCCTTGAAGTTTTTATATGGAAGTCTAATTGTCAAAAATTCAAGTTTAACGGATTTCAAGATTTTTGAAAATTTATTGGAAATTGTTCAATTGAACTCAACAAAACTGGCGATAGATGTTCAAGGAAGTAAAAAGCTTCAAAACGCAACATTTCCTAAATTACAGGTAGCTTTTTTAAAGATTACTGTATGCTTCTTTAAAATATGAAGTTTTTCAGAGAGGGTTTGTCCCTAAAAAAATAAATTAAATTTTTCAAAAAAAATCTTCCTTATTAATAAAATGCTAGAGGCGTCTGTCCGTCCTCGTGTCCGTCCGTGGACTTTATAAAAAAAAATTGGAAAATACATATATATTTACGTGACCCTTTTATTTAGAAAAAGTGAGAAACGAAGCGACGAACATATGAAAAAAAAATAGATTGAATCGCGCCGAAGGCGCACCAGCTTGCTGGTTGAATAATAAAAAAATTATTAAATAATAAAAAAATATTAATTAATAAAAAAAGTATTAAATAAATTTGTTTGATATTACAATTTAAAAAAATATAAAAAATGGCCACTGAAAGTTTTTGTTCTTAAAATTCAAAGGAAAAGCTGAAAATGAAAATAATTATGTTTTAAAAATTTAAGCACCAAAATAATCTACTATCCCCAGAAATTGATTTTTATTGATCAAAAAAAATTGTATTAATCCTCAAAATGAGTCAAAACTTTGTAGTGTGATCGAACTAGATTTTTTTCCGAGAACTTTCTTTTTTTGATTTTTTGGTTTTTTTCGTTGGTTTTGAAAAATCCCTATGAATCACCCCATTTGTTTCAAATCAAAAAACGTTAATCCGATTGGGTCTGAATATATATATATATATAAATATCGAAAAAAAGCTTCCATTTTTTGTGAGTTCTCAAATTATGAGTCTTCTTTTGAAATTCATTTTTCTGTTTTTAATCACCCATCTTCCAAAAATTGATTGTTGGGAAATCAAATCTTGTGGTAGATCAATTTTTCCCTAATTTTAAAATCCGAAAAAATTCCAGACTCAAACCCTCCATGCAAATTCAATGAAACTTTTTTGAGCAATAATACAGCTTCGAAATTCCCAAAAAATTGTTCAACAGTTTGTGGAATATTATTGATAAATGGGACAACTGATCTGAGCGCTGAACAATTAACCGAATTATTCAAAAATATGAGAATTCTGGTTGGCGGATTGCACATAAGGAACGCTACATTCAAAAACCTGAGATTTTTATCAGGTTTAAGACGTTTTGTGGCAGGCAAGTTAACCTCAAAACCCTAGAGACCTTATTGAAGACATTATACCTTATACCTTATACCTTATACCTTATACCTTATACCTTATACCTTATACCTTATACCTTATACCTTATACCTTATACCTTATACCTTATACCTTATACAAACTTTGAGGTAATTCTCCTTGGTTCCTATCGAAGACATGAGAAAGTTGTCAACTGAGAAATTGTTCATCATAATGTAATGAGCATTCTATCAAATGACCAATTTTTGATCTCTCTTTTAGGAACCCAGAGAAATTAGCTCAAATTTGACAGGTTTTACGGCAGTCTAGAAATCTGGAAATTTTCAGACCACACTCGCTATCCAATGTATGATGCACAGTTGGAAATCACATATAATTCAGAATTGAGAGAATTGGGATTATTAAATCTGACAACAATTAAGAGTAGCGTTGTCGTTATTTATCGTAACGAAAAGCTGAAAAAATTGAATTTGCCGAAATTAGAGGTGATTCAAAGTTAAGAAAAAAATCTGAAAATTAGTTTAAAAAAATTTTCAGACGGCAAAATTTTTGGAAAACCGCACCATTCAATTACAAATGGCTTCTGCCAAATTCCCCGAATTTTGCATTAAAACTCAAGAATTGGATGCTTTCACCAGAAAGAGAAACAAATGTGACCTGATCATAAATTCTAACATTTGCATCCCAAAAAACGCACCAAAAGTTTGTACAGTACCTACAGTAGGATGTGAGCGACTCATTGGAGACTTGAACATCACAAAAGGATTTGATGTTCGAAAAGTGGAATCCTTGAAACGTTTGTATGGGACTCTAAACATAACAAACACCGATTTTAACGATTTTCGATTTTTGGGAAACTTAACCCATATTCTATGTTTGCGTGAGTTTTGTAGCATCTTAAAATATTTTTTTTTCTTTATTTTGAAAATTTCCAGTTCATAAACCGGCTTTGTTCGTCGTGGGAAACAAAAATTTGACGAATATGGAGTTCCCAAATTTGAGGGTACTGTAAAAGCTTTGGGTACCAACTTTGAGCTTATATATCTCGGTTCTTGTGAAAGATATCAAAGAGTAATCAACTAACAAAATGTTCAGCATAATATTAAAAATATTTTATCAGTTGACCACTTTTTGATATCTTGCACAGGACTCGAGATAAGCGGCAGTTTTCAACAAAAAAAATCCAGAGAATCGACACATCGAAAGACCAGTTTGCACAATTCGCCGATAATTCCCAAGAATCACATGCCGATTTTAAATCTTGCTATGCACTCAGAAAAGCGGCTCTTCGTGAGGATTTTGTATGGCCAGAATTTGGTAGTTTGAGGAGTTGTGGTGAGTTTAAATTGCCTTAAAACCTGTAATAGACGGGTCTTCTCACTGTTTACTTTGAGCCTATTTTGCTTGGTCCCTGTGAAAGATATCAACATTTTTTCAACTGATAAATTGTTTATCATAATATCAACAACATTTTATCAGTTGACAGTTTCTTGATATCTCACCTAGGAGCCGAGATAATTAAGCTCAAACTTGACAAAAATTATGATAATAATTTTTTGAAAATTTCAGAAGAGATCGAGTCCCCTTCAACATCAAGCCAAGTTGAATCCCCTTCAACACCAACAAAAAACCAAACTTGCTATATTTTTGGAGTAAGATTCCCTTGTCCTGTTGATTCTTATGTTGCTCTGTGATTTTTAAAATAAATATTTTATCATTTGATTCTTTTTTCTGGAAAATTGAAATTGCAAATTTTCCAAAAATGCTGAAGAAATAGTCCCAAAACGTCGTCTAAACGTTTTGAATCTACAGCAAACGCAGGTAATTTTTTGTGGTAGATCATTTATACGGAACAAATATCATTTGAGAAAAAAAAAGTAATGTCAAAAGAGAAAAAGAAGCATGCTATACAATAATCAACAATTTAACTTAATTCAACAGCAAAATTAATAATTCTATACACAAGAAAATTCCACGGGCGGTACATATTTGGGGAAACGAATCGTATTAGTGTTATGATCCACAATTGAGATGATTCTGAATGCGGATCCCCCAGCGTTCACGACTTCATCATATGTCCAAACTTTAGTGGAAATTTCAGCGTCTTCTGGAAATCTGACACACTTTTTGACACGTTTTGGGAATGGCAAATTGATTGGCGGTTGACGGAGAAGCGTTTTTCGAGAGAATTTTGGAATCGGAGGTCGAGCGGTTTTCTGAAAATTTTGGGAAATTAGAAATTTATGAATTACAGCCAGTTTGATAGTTTTCAGAAGTCCAGAGTTTGTTTGTCAAGTTTTCGATCACTTTGAGAACCTTGGAGGGTGTATAACAGACCTAGATTAAAAAATTTGCATTCACAAATTTTTTTGAAAATTCCTAGTTTCTCAGCCATTTGCCGATTTCTAAAAGACACCCTTTTACGGCCAGTTTTGTACTAGGGCTCTCAAAAAATTTTGAAAATTATCAGTCAAAATTTTAGACTGTAACACACTTCGAAGTGATCCAATTGACTCAAAAACTGAATGTCTCTATTTCAAAAGTCTTTAGCTTTGCAATGAGCCTAAACACGGCCTGATTTCTATTGATTTCAAATTTAAGCTCAAACATGCGACGCACAACCGCGACGCATCGGAAATTTGGAAAATCGTCAAATCGTGGCATGTTTGGGCTCATTTCAAAGCTCTAAACTTGTCATATTCAAATTTTGCAAAACGAAATCCAGTTTGGTTCGTTTTTGTACAGAAAACATGAACAAAGTTGACTTTCAAAAATCGGCGAATAGCTGAGAAACTAGGAATTTTCAAAAACTCTGTGAATGCAAAGTTTTCAATCTAGGTTTGTTTTACATTCTCCAAAATTTTCAAAGTGATCGGAAATTTGACAGACGAGCTCTAGACATCTCAAAATTCCGAAAAAAACTGAGTAATTCAATCTTGTACATCTTATTGATCGGTACTGTAGCTAAAGCTAGTTCATGCAAACCCAAATCAGCTTGAGCTAGCTGAATCTCATGCTCACTAATTAAAAGTCATAAATAATCTCATGCTCACTAATTAAAAGTCATGAATTTCAAACAGCACAGCGAATTTGCAGATGCATGTATCCCAAAATTGACAAAGCTCTAAAACTCACATCAAACTGCAAATTGAGCGGCGTCGAGCATGGTGTCAACGCATGGGCAAAATAATCAGGCACCTTGTCCAACATATCCGGCTTTGCCAAACAAGACTTCCGATTTCTAACCGGTGACTCGATCGATGGCTCCGTGCTCACAGGTTCGGAGCTCACAGGTTGCTCTTCTTTCACTTCCATCTTGCCCAACGCATCAGCCAAAAGCTCATTGCTCACCGGTAGCGACAGAGCTATCGTAGTCTCAACGGTCACGGTTTTGACTTGAGGAGTGCTCGCCTGACAGAACAGCTGCGACATTTGCTGCTGGAGCCATTTAGGATCTCCAGGAGCAGCCAGAACTGGAGGTTCTACCACTTGAACATGCTCAATTATCACATCGGCTACTGGAATTGGAGGGGAGACTGGAGTATCGAAAAAGTGGGTTCGAAGGAAGCGAGTCGGTGTGGAAATCGGTCTTGGGATGGATGGAGTGTCTGGAGACGTTAGGACCAGATGTGTGAGTTCGGTTTCGGATGAGGTGTCCTACAAAACAAATTTTCTAAATGTTAATTACTGTAACCACTCCTTAAGCTCAATTTTCTCATTTTCTTTGAGAGAAAACCAAATTGTGTCAACTGATAAAATGTTGGTAATTTCATGATAGACATTTTATCAGTTGATAGGTTTTCGTTATCTCTTTTAGAAATTGAGATAATTGAGTTCAAAGTTTTCAACTCATTTTTTTTGGAACTGAAAACGATTTTGGAAGAGGTCATTCCCCAATTTTTCTAGGTCATGACCCAATTTTTTCTAGGTCCTGACCTCGATTTTTCTGGGTCATGACCCAATTTTTTCTAGGTCATGACCTAAATTTTTCTAGTTCATGACCTAGATTTTTCTAGGTCACGACCCAATTTTTTCTAGGTCATGCCCCAATTTTTTCTAGGTCATGACCCAATTTTTTCTAGCTCCTGACCTCGATTTTTCTGGGTCATGCCCCAATTTTTTCTAGGTCAGGCCCCAATTTTTTCTAGGTCATGACCCAATTTTTTCTAGGTCATGACCTAAATTTTTCTAGATCATGACCTAGATTTTTCTAGGTCACGACCCAATTTTTTCTAGATCATGACCCAATTTTTTCTAGGTCATGACCTAAATTTTTCTAGTTCATGACCTAGATTTTTCTAGGTCACGACCCAATTTTTTCTAGGTCATGACCTAAATTTTTCTAGGTCATGACCTAGATTTTTCTAGGTCACGACCCAATTTTTTCTAGGTCATGTCCCAATTTTTTCTAGGTCATGACCCAATTTTTTCTAGGTCATGACCCAATTTTTTCTAGGTCCTGACCTCGATTTTTCTGGGTCATGCCCCAATTTTTTCTAGGTCATGACCCAATTTTTTCTAGGTCATGACCCAATTTTTTCTAGGTCCTGACCTCGATTTTTCTGGGTCATGCCCCAATTTTTTCTAGGTCCTGACCTCGATTTTTCTGGGTCACGACCCAATTTTTTCTAGGTCATGACCCAATTTTTGCTAGGTCCTGACCTCGATTTTTCTGGGTCATGCCCCAATTTTTTCTAGGTCATGTCCCAATTTTTTCTAGGTCATGCCCCAATTTTTTCTAGGTCATGACCCAATTTTTTCTAGGTCATGACCCAATTTTTTCTAGGTCATGACCCAATTTTTTCTAGGTCCTGACCTCGATTTTTCTGGATCATGCCCCAATTTTTTCTAGGTCATGCCCCAATTTTTTCTAGGTCATGCCCCAATTTTTTCTAGGTCATGCCCCAATTTTTTCTAGGTCATGACCCAATTTTTTCTAGGTCATGACCCAATTTTTTCTAGGTCCTGACCTCGATTTTTCTGGATCATGCCCCAATTTTTTTTAGGTCATGCCCCAATTTTTTCTAGGTCATGACCCAATTTTTTCTAGGTCATGACCTAAATTTTTCTAGGTCCTGACCTCGATTTTTCTGGGTCACGACCCAATTTTTTCTAGGTCATGCCCCAATTTTTTCTAGGTCATGACCCAATTTTTTCTAGGTCATGACCCAATTTTTTCTAGGTCCTGACCTCGATTTTTCTGGGTCATGCCCCAATTTTTTCTAGGTCCTGACCTCGATTTTTCTGGGTCACGACCCAATTTTTTCTAGGTCATGACCCAATTTTTGCTAGGTCCTGACCTCGATTTTTCTGGGTCATGCCCCAATTTTTTCTAGGTCATGTCCCAATTTTTTCTAGGTCATGCCCCAATTTTTTCTAGGTCATGACCCAATTTTTTCTAGGTCATGACCCAATTTTTTCTAGGTCATGACCCAATTTTTTCTAGGTCCTGACCTCGATTTTTCTGGATCATGCCCCAATTTTTTCTAGGTCATGCCCCAATTTTTTCTAGGTCATGCCCCAATTTTTTCTAGGTCATGCCCCAATTTTTTCTAGGTCATGACCCAATTTTTTCTAGGTCATGACCCAATTTTTTCTAGGTCCTGACCTCGATTTTTCTGGATCATGCCCCAATTTTTTCTAGGTCATGCCCCAATTTTTTCTAGGTCATGACCCAATTTTTTCTAGGTCATGACCTAAATTTTTCTAGGTCATGACCTAGATTTTTCTAGGTCATGACCTAGATTTTTCTAGGTCACGACCCAATTTTTTCTAGGTCATGACGTAAATTTTTCTAGGTCATGACCTAGATTTTTATAGGTCACTACGTCATGACCTAATTTTTTAGATTTTTCTAGGTCATGACCTAGATTTTTCTAGGTCACGACCAAATTTTTTCTAGGTCACGACCAAATGTTTTCTAGATCATGACCCAATTTTTTCTAGGTCATGACCCAATTTTTTCTAGGTCATGACTTAAATTTTTCTAGGTCATGACCCAATTTTTTCTAGGTCATGACCCAATTTTTTCTAGGTCATGACCCAATTTTTTCTAGGTCATGACGCAAATTTTTCTAGGTCATGACCTAGATTTTTCTGGATCATGACCCAATTTTTTCAGGTAATGACCCAATTTTTTCCAGGTCATGACCCAATTTTTTAGGGGCTCGTCGTAGAACTTCTTCAATCAAAATTTTCAAGAATCATACCGTAATCCTTCTATCCGGCGTCCATTCTCCAATTTCAGTAATTCCTAGACTAGCTGGAGTTGAAACCTTGCCAGGTGGCGTTTCCATAGTTGGCAACTGAGCAATGTCCAATTTTTTAAAGCTGAGCAATTGGTGGTTAGGTGGTGTTGCTTCGAATTTCAACGACAATGAAACGTCAACTTCGTCAGGATCGTAGAAATCTGACTTTTCGAGAAAAGGAGATTCTGGAGGATTCTGAATCTCGTCGTTCCAGATGTCATAAGATTCTTGTGGGATGGGACAGTTTGTCTTGTCTTCTGTAGTCAGCGAAATGTCTTCGTTGACGACAAAGCTTGGCTTGACGTCTTCTGCCTCTTCTGAAGCTTCCGAAACTTCAGAATCACTTTGGTCCAAATCCGGACTCCTCGTAAAGCTCCAAGCCTTTTCTTCAGCGTCGGGCGTCAAAAAAGTCACCGACTTTTTAGCCAAGTTTCTGCCCAACCGTTGTACTTTTCCCAAATTCTTCGGCGTCTTGCTAGCCAACCATTTTCGATTCGTCTCTTCTATTGTCCATGACTTGCCAATTCCAGATTGCTCATTCTTAAATTTCATGCCAAATTTCAACTGTTCTGACAACTCTTGTCCTTGCTGAGTGGCCAGAAAATCCATCATTTTTCTATGTGCCTCGGCGAGCTCCGAGTCTTTGGCTGGGCTGATTTTTAAGGATGAGCAATCGTCTAGAATTCTTATTTCCGTGTCTGAAGTCACTGTAATTTGTTCAGAAATCTCCTCATTCTTCAATGATTCCTCATCCTTCACAACAAAAATTTTGAAGAGTTTTTCGGTTACTGTTGCTTCGAATTGGTTAATCTGAGCAATATTTTCTTGTTTCGGCTCATTTCCATCCACTTTCAACTCATTTTCTTCAATATTTTCATCCACAATTTTCTCCAAAATCTCATTCAAAAATTCTCGAACGTCTTCTGAATCCACCAACGTCTTCTGATTTTGATATACCGCCCATTCCGATTCTCGAGCAGTTTCAACTTTTTTGGTTTTGTCAGGTGTCGAAACATTTTGTGATTGGGTCTGAAAAATGACGATTTTATATGTTGACAATTGTCCATGGTGTGCCAAAGGCTTGCCCAAATCTTGCCCAAGGCTTGTACAAAATTTGCCCAAGATTTGACTAAGCCTTGCCCAAAGCTTGCCCAAGGCTTGCACAAGGCTTACCCAAGGCTTGAAGGCTTGCCCATGCTTTGTTTAAATCTTGCTCATGGCTTGGCTCAAGGCCTGCCAAAAGCCGTCCCATGGCATGCCCATAGTTTGCCCAAAATTTGCCAATGTCTTGCCCATGACTCACAAGTAACACTTTCTGTTTTGCCATGAACACCTCCTGATCACCACAATACAGTAATTTTGAATATCCCGCCATCGGATGTGGATGTTCAGGAGTTGGCGGCTGGAACATTCCATGACGTGTTGGCGTTGTTCGTTTTGAGAATGGAGACGAGTGGAGACTGGAAGAGGTGCTCTGAAAGTGTGCGGTAGAGCGCATTTGCAAAATTATTAAATTTCTCACCAAAATATTCCCAGAACTTGGCGATTTCTCCGAATTCTTATCAGACAGCATGCACTCAGCTGTGTAGATGTTTGGAGATTCGGTATGAGTCTTTTGATCCTTGATTTTTGAGCTTCTGGTCTTCTGAAAAGTAAATAATGTCCGTACAGCGCACAGCTTGGACTTGCCCGTGTCTTGCCCATGCCTTGCCCCATCCCACTTACCAAAACCCCTCTCTTCTTTGGCGTGCAATATTGTAAATTTCGTCGCTTCTCCGGAGTCGCTGAATCAGTCAAAAATGGGAACGAGGGGCAAAGTTTCATGGTACAGATACTGGGCGGTGCTGATAAGACAGAGCACTCTGATAGACGATCCGGACTGTTGGATACCTGGAAAATTGAGGCTTTTTTAGTAGAAAAAAAATTACCCACTGATAAACTGATATGGTTCATTCGAAGCGGCGACTGATTTTTGGACACGGTCCGGTTTCTTGTCGAATTTTTGATTCGAATCATTTGAGATTGGATCTAAAATCAGAAGACGGTGAATTTTGGAGAATCATAAAAATGTCTAATCGAAAAAAAAAACTGAAATCAAAAGAAAACGCTTTGAAAACAACAACAAGAATCTCTCAATCCATTTTGATCTACTAAAAAAAATTCCTGCGTTTCCTGTAGATCAAAAAGTTTTAGGCAATATTTGGGACTATAAAAAAATATGCAATTCGATATTTCCATTTTGCAGTAACAAGTTCTTGAATTTTTATCAAGAAAGAATCAATATTAAAAATTCGAGAAAATGCAAAAAAATATTTTAAAATCACAGAGTTATAGGTGAACGAGAACAAGGCTCCCAGATGCCTCTATCAGAAAAGCACATGGGTGTTGCAGGGGATTCCATCTGTTCTGAAATTTTCAAAAAGTTATGATCAATTATTGTAAAGTTTGAGCTCAATTATCTCGATTTCTGTGAAAGATATCAAAAATGTGTCAACTGACAAAATACTTCTGATATTATGATGAACAATTTATCAGTTAACTGATTTCTGGTATCATTTAAAGGAATCGAGAAAAATTGGCTAAAAGCTAGAAGGGTCATTATATTACAGTGTAAGGGTTTTAATGTAAATGAAAGTAGAGTAATGAAATGTAAACTCACCGCAACCCTTATCACCAAATAATGGCCAAAAACCACCCTCGAGAAAAGCCGCTCTTCTGAGTGCATAGCAAGATTTTAAATCGGTATACGATGCTTTGGAGGTATTGGCAATATATGAGAATTTTAACTATTTGATGTCGATTCTCTGGAAAAATTTAGATTCTTGAAACTGGAAACCAAAGCCTTTACAGTACCCTTAATTTTGGAAATTTCATATTCGTCAATTTTTTGTTCCCTACGACCCACAGTGCAACGTCATACCTTGAAAATGTCCACTTTGAAAAAATATCCTTCTGATGCCCCGAAGCTTACCCAAACGCACAATTTGCGTTAAATTTCCCAAAAATCGAAAATCGGTGAAATCGGTTTGGTTATGTTCAGAGTCCCATACAAACGTTTCAAGGATTCCACTTTTCGAACATCGAATCCTTTTGTGATATTCAAATTTCCAATAAGTCGCTCACATCCTACTGTAGGTACTGTACACACTTTTGGTTCGTTTTTTGGGATGCAAATGTTGGAATTCATGTTCAAGTATACTTGGTTCCTCTTTCTTGTGAAAGCATTCAAGTCTTGAATTGTTATGCAAAATTTGGGGTGTTCGGGATAATTCAAATTCACAATAATAGAGCAGATGTTTCCCAAACATTTGACCACCTGAAAATTTTTTCAGAATTTTCAGAATTTTTTGAATTTTTGGAAAATCCACCTCCAGTTTCGGCAAATTCAATTTTTCCAGTTTTCCATTGGAATCAATATTGACAACAGGACTTTTAATTGTGGTCAAATTCAATAATCCCAATTCTATCAATTTTGGATTATTTGTGATGTCAAAATCTCAGAGAAAACTCCGAGGGTCTGAACATTTCAGAGTTTTTTTTCCAAAGTTTCAGACTAATCTTACCTCCCACAAAACGTCTCAAACCTGCTAAAAATCTCAAATTCTCGAATTTCGTGTTACTGATGCGCAACCCGCCAACCAGAATTCTCATGTTTTTGAATAATTCGGTTAATTGCTCAACGTTTAAATCAGTATTCTCATTTATAATGAAATGGCCACAGACTGTAGAACAAATTTTTGGGAATTTCTGAGCTGTGATTTGGATCAAAAAGGTTTGATTGAATTCGCAAGATGGGTTGGTGTCTGGAATATTTTTTTTGGGATTTGAAATTCTAAAACACCGTAAAACCTATATTAGAAGGGCCGTCCCTCCGGAGTGCCCTTCTATTACAGGGGGCGCTTCTGTTGTTCCATACATGTGGATGGCCGGCCCGCTCGGCCCGCCTAGGACAACTTTTCAAAAATTTTATTTTTCGAATGTGCCAAAATATTTATAATGGCACAAATATTAATCCAAATGCATACAACCATCCGAAAAAGTCAATTTAATTGAATTTTTAGCAAAAAAATCAAACTTCATTAAGCCAAGGATGAAACTTTTTTTCTAATTACGACTTCAAAACAGTTTTTGTCGACAGTATCGGCCTCTAGTGTGGATTTTCATTCACTAAGAAGAAAACCATCTTGAAAAATGATGATTTGCTCTAAAATTTCAAAATTTTCAAAAAGCGGGCCGGCCCGGCCCGCTTTCAGAAAAATCTCAGCCCGGCCATGGCCCGGCCCGCGGGCCGGCCATCTTTTCCACAAGTATGTATTGTTCCGTTTCTTTTGGAGGGCTATTCTATTAGAGGGACCTTCCTATTAAAGAGCCCTTCTAATACAGGTTTTACAGTAAACAATCTACCACAAGACCTAATTTCCCAACAATCAATTTTTGAAAGATGGGTAATTAAAAACAGAAAAATGAATTTTAGAACAAGACTCATAATTTGTGAACTCATGAACAACAGAAGTTTTGAACCATATTTATGCATGTTTGAACCCAATCGGATTACTGTTTGTGACATATAGATTACTCGTTTTGAGAGTGATTTTTTGTAAAACAGATGTGGTGGACATATCAACTTTAAAAAACCAAAAATACGGCATACGTAAATAATCCTCCCAGGATAATCCTTATATTGCAAGTATGCTCCAAAAAAAAAGTTCAATAGATCAAAAAATTGATTTTATTGAAATCTCAAAAACGCAAAAAGTTCAAAATAACAGGCAAAACGAAAATCAACACCAAACAGTTTCGGAATCCAGAGCTGTCTAGAGTCTCAAACTTCATGAAATATCCATTCGTCAATTGTCCGTAATTCGTTTTATAAGAGACCTCCATATAATTCCCAGTTGCCATAATCGGTGCCAAAAGATTCGGTGGACTTGAAGATGTGAATCTGAAATTTTCGGAAAATTTCCAGAAGGTTATTTTTTCTCAAATTGCGTTACGTTTTATTGTAAGTCACTACACTTTTATCGCGAATCCAAATATTAAGCGTTGATCCCCAGGCAAGGTCGGCGTCTGTGATTTCAAAATTGAAGATTACGGTATCAGTTGTCCGTATATAATCAAAACTGTCTTGATTTTTCTGAGGTGTTCCGCTTTTGTAAAATTTGGAACTAAAAAATCCATGTCTGCCGACTGGAACGTTATTAGTGAAAAGTTCAGGTGATAGGGTGAAGTGAAGATTTGCAGAATGACCATGTAGATGATAGGTGCGGACAGTTCCCTGGAATTTCTGTGGCAAATAGGAAGACGTGTTAATCTTTCTGAAAATTAGACCTAATTTTGAAAGAATTTGCAGTTACGGTCAATAAGATGTACAAGAACTTTTTTTAGTTCATTTTCGGTCATTTTCAGGAATCTGGAGCTCGGCTACGAAGGGTCCGATCACTTTGAAAATCTTGGAGAGTGTAAAACAGATCTAGAATGGAAACTTTGAATTCACAACAATTTTTGAAAATTCTTAGTTTTTTTAAATACCCTTTTAGGCCCCCTTGGGGCCCGTTGAAATATCGAAAACAGTCAGAAAAGTGAATTTTCACGAAATTCATGAAAATGGCTTTAAATATATTTAAAATTACCAGTCTGTTCGCCGTACCTTCAAATAGCTGGCTGGTGCGCCTTCGGCGCAACTTAACTCACTGTTCGTCGCTTCGGGAATTATTCAAAGTTCACATTTTTTAACTGTAACACGCTTCAAAATGGCCCAGTTGATCCAAAAACTTAATTTCTCAATTTTTTAAGTCTTTAGATTTGAAATGAGCCTAAACACGACCCAATTCCTTTAATTTCAATTTCCAGCTAAAACACGCGACGCACGACCGCGACGCAGCAGGAATTTGAAAAATTCAGGTCTGGTTTACATCCTCCAAAGTTTTCACAGTGATCAGAAACTTAACAGCCGAGCTCCAGGCTCCAGAAAATGCCAAAATACGTTTTTAAAAAATTTCTTATCATTCTTATCATCATCATTCGTATAATAAATAAATGGAGTTGCGTCTCTTTATTTCTCTGTCGACCTATCCGCACATTTCGAAAAGATCGAAACGTTTTAAAAAGAGTGAGGAGCGAAGCGACGAACAGTGAAATAAATAGGTTAAATTGCGCCGAAGGCGCACCAGCTTGAAGCGCCGGAGGCGCGGCAAACAGACTGGTTTAATAGAAACTTTGAAATAGTATTACAATTTGGTAACCTGAAATGTTGACTCATAATTTTCATTTCAAAGTGCATATTCAGTTTTAAAGGTGGTATCCGGTGAAATTTTTATATTGCATCAAAGTGTGCAGAAATCTGTGTAGATTGACATAAAAATAAAGAAAAAATTCAAAAAAAATTCCTTCATCGAGAAAAACGCATCGAAAAATACGCTGAAAGCCCTTAGGGACGAGCTTTTTTTCTAGGCCGCCCCGTGAGTAAAAGCGCGCGAATTCAAACTTTTAAAAATTTTCCGCTCTTTCTCTTTTTTTTCGGCTTTTTCGAGATTTTTCTAGGTTTTTGTCAATTTTTCTTCCAGATACATCGGAAAATTTGAAAAAAACAGTGAGAAAGAGCGGAAAATTTTTAAAAGTTTGAATTCGCGCGCTTTTACTCACGGGGCGGCCTAGAAAAAAAGCTCGTCCCTAAGGGCTTTCAGCGTATTTTTCGATGCGTTTTTCTCGATGAAGGAATTTTTTTTGAATTTTTTCTTTATTTTTATGTCAATCTACACAGATTTCTGCACACTTTGATGCAATATAAAAATTTTTACCGGATACCACCTTTAAATCACATAAAAATTTTTTACACTTACCCGTACGACTGATAAGACGTTATCAAGTTGCTCTTCTCGCGAGTCAATCGTCCCATATACACATCCAAAACTCCGTAATCACCCAACCAAATTTCTTTCAAGTACTCAGCTGGCTGAGAAGACATAGTGATTGTTGATAAGGCTGCTGATTCCGTATTCATGCAATTTATAACAACACTGTCGCAGACGTCTTCTGGATAGCAAATGAGACATTGGTACTCGTTGAAATCTTTCGTATTTTCGAAATCTTGAAACAACAACATTGAGCCAGTATCATAGAACGGCTCCAGAGCAGCAACAGTCATCAATTTGCCGGAAGAAACCTTTTGTTCTTTGAACTTCTAAATCTGATAGGCGCTCCCCAGGACTCTCGAATTCCAGTCGGGGCCGTCGAAAATGATCAAACTTTTCAGAAGATCCTCGTATCCTTGAGAGTTTTTTGGATTACTAACTACTAGGGAGACGTTAGTGTCCGCAGAAACTTGATAAGGGATTATGGAGCTTGATGATACAATAAGCGGTTGGGTATCAGAGCTATGAGTAGATAGAAGGATAGGGCTGAATGTAGAGGGAACTGAAATTTAGAATATTTTTGTTAACCTGCCTGTTCGCCGCGCCTCCGCGCCTCCGGCGCTACAAACAGCAGGCTGGTGCGCCTTCGGCTTCAAAAATCTTCACTTTGAGCACATATATCTCGGTTCCTGTAAAAGATTTCAAAAAATGGTCAATTGACAAAAACAGTTTATCAGTTGCCAATGTTTTCATATCTTTGACAGGAACCGACATATGGGCTCAAAGTTGAAGATTAGGGGTGGCGTTCTATTAGAGTGTTTACGGTATTTTTCATGGATTTTCAGAACAACCTCCAGTCGGACAAAAGGAATTAAAAAAATTTTGAGGTTTCAAAATGAATTTTTTTTAAGCAAATGGTAAATTCGGATTTTAGTTTTTAAAAATTGTTTTTTGAATTTTTCAAAAACTTTCACTTACACTTATACCAACGAATTCGAAATCCAAATTTGATACCGAGTTCTCTGGTATCCAATTTTATGAATCCTGCATTAGAGACGAAAAAATATGGAACATCTGTCGCACTGAAGAGTCTGAAATTTAAGTTTCGAAATTCAGAAAAATTGGAGTTTGCCGGAATTCCCAAATAAGGCTTCCAATTTGGTCGATCGAAAATCGCCGACCGCCGACCGACCAACGACCGACAGCTGACCGACAGCCGACCGATTTCGGGCCTTTGCGCATAAAAACACGAATTTTTGCGTACGAAGCACTTTATTTTACGACAAACGAGGCTTTTAGTAGTTTGTCGTAAAATACAATGCAGCGTATGCAAACACTTTGACGCGCAAATGCACGAAAACGGTCGGCGCGCCGACCGATCGGTCAGTTCGGTCGGCTGTCGGTCGGCGGGGTCAGTGGTCGGTCGGTCGGCTAAATTTCCGACCGAATGGAAGCCTTATTCCCAAAAATCTAAAATTTGGGATTTCCTGAAAAAAAAAAATTCCGAAATTCCGAAGTTTCCGAAATTTCGAAATATCGAATTTCTAGTGAATAAGAAATCGTAATTTTTCAAAATTCTGGTAAATAAACATTTTCCGAAACTGCAAAAAATTTGAGGTTTGAGAAATTTGAACATTCCGATAATTTGAATTTTCCGAAATTCTGAATTGAATGTTCCAATAAAATCCAAAATCGGGATTCTCCAAAACGTTTTTTACTTTTTCAAATTCTGAAAGTCAGAATTTTCAAAAATTCCAAGATTTTACTTTTTCGGAATTTCGAAAAAGGAGTTTTCCGAAATTTTCGAAATTCTGAAAATTGGTTTTTTCGAAATTCCAGAAATTCGTAATTTTTCAACGATTTTGTTTTTTACTACTGAAAGAATAACTTACTTCTCTTCAAATGATTGTGAATCGATAACTTGTACTGGAGCTGGAATGATTGGAGGCATCTGCTGATTGAAGGTTAATCGAACTTCCGCATGATATCCTTTTGGCACATTTATCTGAAATTTTGTTCCATATTCTTAAAGGTGGGGTGGACATGAAAAAAATAATGTTTTATATTCCGTTTCAATATGCCCCTCGAGGAGTTGAACTTGTGGGGGTGAGTATTGAAGGTGCGGCACCGTTACCGACTGAGCCACACGAGCAAAGGAGAAGCGGGCGCCCGATGGTAAACATAAGGGTGAGGACGACAGCTGTACGCAGAGTGACATTAAGCGTTTTACACCGTTACTGTAGAATGCATACCCTGACTACGAAAATCCTACGAGAAATCTCCTGCCCCCCCCCCCTTTAAACATTTGAAACTGGAAAAAATCCTCACTTTATAAAGACACGAATAGTAATCTGAAAAAAATGGCGGGTCGGAATATGAAAAATCGCTTGGGTACCATATTGTTTGGTTCAAATCATTTGGAGGATCAAAAGCAGAAGTGGGGCAATCTGAAAGGATTTTAACAAAAATTTTCACAAAAAATCAAACTTTTACCAGTGATTTTTTGAGAAAATAGTGAGCCAATCGATAGAAATACAAGAAGAAAAGAGAAATGTATCATTGATTTGTGTAAAGTTTGAGAGGAAACAAATAAAAGTGAATGATAGGAAAAAAACTGTTATCTCTAATAGGAAAATAAAGTAGAGAGATAAAAAATCAGAAAACCGGAATTACTCGTTTCAGTTCAAACTGAATACATTTTCCCATCTTTAGAGAGGAATATGGAACAATCAGAATGATACCGCGAAGTACCATATGGTAAATTATGGCACCGTAAAGAATCATATTCCCTTGTCACGCCCGATATGGTATAACATCGAATCATGGGACCGAATAGTACTATATAATATGGTGAAGCCTAGAGACAACACGAGAAAACATAATAAAGTTGACTCATTGGTTATTTCGTTTCAAATCATGATTTTTGATTCTTTTAACGCACATTGTATGTGGTTTGAAATTCCAGTCTTTCTTTTTTAAGAAGTTTGAATAGCTCCAAAAACGTTTTCCTTCTTTTCGACAATTCTTCTCTTCCGAGTGTTCTTATCAGTTGATCATAAAAATAAATAGTTTTGTGTGCACATCAATACAAACACTATTTGAATTTTTTTATTCAATCGATTTTCTATTCAGCATGGAAGAAATTCTTACTCCAATTGGTGGCGGATACATATTTCCGGAAAATGTGGTTGGAAAAATTTTGGAACATTCAGATTATAAGTCTATGTGAGTTTTTTTTTCTATTCTGATAAAATGATTTATGCTAATATAACTATCAAGACAAATTTCAGCATGACTCTTCTGAAAGTTTCTAAAGGATTCCGAAACACTATTGGATTCCAAAAGCCGGATATAAAACTTGAATCTGTCGAAATTTCGGTTGAAATCGGGTCCATTATTTTGGCGTTGAAATATTCTGAAGATTCTGAGATTCTAAGAATTCAGTATAGAGAAAGAAGATGCTATTATAGACAACCGCCAAGAAAATGGAAAAGGAGTTTGGGAAAATTTTGGAAAAAAGAACATCGAAAAGAAAAAAGAGAACGACTGGAAAAGAAATTTCAAGGGAAAGGATGTTTCGTTAAAAATTTGAATTCTAAAAACAAGGAAAAATTTCTAAAGACGAATTTTCTTCAAGCGTTTCTCTTCGACTACTATTATGTTCTATGTTTTCAAAGCTCTAAAATTTCCAATTTCAAAATCAATTTTCCAACCGATTTGTCCTTGAAGAAATTCTCTTATCCTATTTTCGTTCAATTTCGACATTGCTTTCAATTTCGACAAAGAGTCCATTTAAAAATCCAAAACTTCTGTTGCAATTTCCTAGAAGACCGACACATTTCAATGATTCTTGAATGCTTCGACTTGGATTCTATTGAAAAGTTGGAAATATTCAAAAAGTTCCTTCCCGATTATTCGAAAATTGGGAAATATTTGATTCAACGAACACCGCAATGGAAGAAATTGAGGGAAATCAATTGTGGAGATGAATCAATTTATGACGGATTTGTGAAAGATTTATTGCATTTTGAGAGAGTCCATGTGAGAATGGAGCTAGTCACTTTATCAGAGATCGAAATTTTGAAAAATGTGAGCTTGAAATATGGCATCAAAGATAAAAAGGGTTTTCGACTACGACCTAACCTGTCTCACTTGTACGAGTTAATATTTTTTGATATTTTTCACAGAAAGTGAGATAAGATTGGTCAAAGTTAAGAGCATACTTCCCCCACCTCCGGGCCTTTGCCGGGCCTTCGCGGGCCCTGCCATAACTCCTTTCAGAATTGATGTTTTCGAACCAACTCAATCAGATATGATAGAGCTCCACGAGTACTACAAAACGGTATCATTGGGAATACTGTATCTTGTCTATGAACAGAGTTACTGAGCAAAAGGAACAAAAAAAGCAGGCCCGGCCTGGGCCTGCCGGGCCTTGCGAGAAAAGTCACTTTATGATCAGTAACTTTGTTCATAGAGAAGATACAGTATTCCAAATAATACCTTTGTAGTACTCGTGGAGCCCTGTCATATCTGATTTAGTTGGATCGAAAATATTGATTCTGAAAGAAGTTATGGCAGGGCCCGCCAAGGCCCGGCGAAAGCCCGGATTACAAGTATGGTTAAGAGGACTTTTTATGGTGGACACTGAAAATACTCTTTTTTTCATTTTCAGGCCTTCCAAACTACCGCAAATCCTAAAAATGTCTGTTTTGAATTGCTTTATTTTGATTCAAATATGCTGCGCCGGCTTTTCCGAGAACCTCTGGATCATGAAAATCAGAATTCGTGCTCGTGGTTTTTCGAGATTCCAAATAGTCAACAATTCCTGAAGATTTCTTTGGATTCAAGTAAAAAATCGATTAATTTCAAAAGATTGGAATCTTCAGAAATTCTTGAAAAGTTTCCAAATGCTCTGGAATTTTCTAAACGAGTCGAGAGGCATTTCGCGTGAGTTGATTTTTTTAAAATTGAAACTTTGGTCTCTAAAAATGAAATTGAAACCCAAATCATTTGCTGAAACCGAAAAATCCAGAAACTTTTGGATTTCAATTTTTCCAATATATAATTCATGGGGAAAATAAAAATAGGGAATTTTGGGTATTTTCTGTAAAAAAATTAATTAAACAATTAGAATTAAATTTAAAAGTCAAAAAAAATTCTAGAAAAAAAACCAACTATCGTATTTCATAGACTCACACCAAAACCGTAAACTTTGAGCTCAACTATCTCGTTTCTTGTGAAAGATATCAAATTATTGTCAACTGATAAAATATTTTTGATATTATGGTAAATAATTTATCAGCTAAATTTTTCAAATTTCTTCCCCAGGAATTGAGATAATTGAGCTCAAATTTGACGATTTGGGTGAAATTCTATTAGCGGAATTACGGTGTGCTCAACTCCTTAATACTTCCATTTCAGTTCCAATCTTCAAAATCTCACACTTTTCTCTATGAATCTCCGGGAAACTTTCAAAAACCATCTTCACAAAATCCACTTGTCGCTCAACAAAACAAATGCAAATCTGACATTCAAGTTTTTCGACGACTACACATATATGTCCTATTTTTACAATGATAAAGGTCTAGGATGCGAAATTTATTCAAAAAATACAAAGGAACGAAAACTTATGGACACTTTGGATTTTGTATCTGCATTGTGCAAGGACTTGGAGGAAATTTTGAGTCTTCAAATTCAAAATTTTCTTCATTTCGGAGTATTTCTACATTATGAGTCAACTGATACAAATAATTGGAATGAGAGCCAAGAAGTGGTTTCAAGAAGCTTTTTGGAGAAATTCGAGAGCATTCTAAAGTCCAGAAATCGATTTTTGAAAATCAATAGCTTTCATATGAATCCAAATAGTCAACATCAACTTTTATCTTTTCTCCCGTTTTTCGACTTGAATGTTTTGACATTGGAGAGACTTCACAAGAATGCTATTCCCTTTGAAACTAATAGAATTGTGAAATCGGACCAGTGGAGAAAATTGAAGATGTTTTACACAGAAAACTACATTTTGAATGTGGCAATGGAAGATTTGATGCATTTTGAATTCGCAGTTGTTACGGTTGAAGATATTGGTTCGAGAGATGTGCTGAATTTGAAAGAGGTCGGAAATTCTAAATTTAACAATTTCAAAGGTGGAGTTAAAGGAGGCCAGACACCAAAAAAAAAGTTTTCCTGATATTTTGCATAGAGAACCCCCATGAGGGGTTGAACTCATGACAGGCAGCTCAGGGGTACAGCGCTGCTACCGGCTGAACTACGGGAGCGCGAAGGCGCCTGACGACCGATGGTTTACATAAGCGCGGCACGATTTCGTCCCCCGAACTGCCCCCGAAATTTTTGCTGTCTCGCCTCCTTTAACCTATTAGGTTGGAAGGAAAGTAACAGTCCATTTTTCAATTCGTGAATAACACGAAAGCAGGAATTATCCAAGATTGACAGTATGCAAGGTCGTGGCCCACAGCATGCTGACAACATTAAGGCAGCTTGTTGATATACCATCCCTCCAAAAGCCAGCTGGCCACGACCAAAAGTAGTTTTTCAGTACAGATTTTATCTCATCTACAGTGTTGAACTACTTCTCTCCAGATGACGTTGCATATCTCCTAATAGGCAATAATGAAAGGGCCACTTCAGGAGTTTGAGGGGGCGTAAAGAAAAATTGTCCAGCTAAAATTGTCCAGCTAAAAATTGTCCCTAAAACTCCAGACTTGACAATTTCATAATTAGTTATTCGGAGATATTCAACGTCGTCTGGAGGAAAAATTATTTTACACTGTCGATGAGATAAAAACGGATCTTAAGAAATACTTTGATTCGCGGCCAACTGGCATTGGAGAAATTGTATCCACAAGTTACCTGAATGTTGTCAGCATGTCGTGGACCACGACGGTGCATACTGTCAATCTTGAGTAATTCTTGTTTTTGTGTTATTCACGAATTAAAAAAACGACAGTTACTTTCCTTCCAACTTTATATATGGGGGGGGGGGCATGAAAAAGAACCATGTTGTTAAAAAATCATTTCTTAACATTTTCTCAAAATTTCTTTAATACTCAATAAGATATACCAAAACATATTTTCAGTTAATTTTTGCCCAATTTGACCATTTTTCAGGAGTAGACCAGTTTTTTCGATTTTCGATAAAAAAAAATCTGATCTGAAAAATCTAAAAAAATATATAATTTAGGCTGTTTCAAAAATAATTTGAAAATTTTGAGAGGTTGAAAAAAACGTTTTTTTTTACAAAATACCGTAAGCACTCTAATAGAACGCCACCCCGTCAAGTTTGAGCCCATGTATCTCATTTCCTGTAAGAGATATCAAAAAGCGGTCAACTGATAAAATATTGCTGATATTATGATGATCATTTTATTAGTTGACAACTTTTGGATGTTTTTCAAAAGAAGTGAGATATATAAGCTCAAAGTGGACGTGTTTACGGTAATATAATTCGAAGAGATCGAAATGTTTTTTTGAAAAAGAATCCTTTAAATCCAACAATTTCGTGGTGAGACCCAGAAAATAATTTTTTTTATACTTGTAACGGGTCGGGCCGGCGGGCCTGTCATTCCACAAATTTTGAAAATTTTAAAAAACACATAAAAACATTTAAAAAAACACATCCATCCCTTATGTGATTTTTTTAGATCAAAAATGTTTTTACGAGTTTTTTTTTGATATTTTTTGATCAAACAGACAAACAAGCTCAAAATTTGGCTCAAAATGACAAAATTTTTGCTACCGGGCCTTCCGGGCCGGGCCAGGGCTTTGAAAATTACCTCAGGCCCGGCCCGGGCCCGGGCCCGGAATTTTACAAGTATGAATTTTTTGAATTTTCAGATGCTCCAAAATTCTTCCAAACCTTCTCGTCTCACCCTCCGCTACAACTATTTCTCTGGTCCCGTTGAACCATACGAGTGTCTTGGAAGACGAAAAACTGCAAGTTTCAAATCTGGAATTATCACTCAAGAATGGGCTTTTCCAATTTTCAAAAAAGAAGAGGAACCTGAAAATTCGGAAAGTTCTCGAAAAACCAAAATCTTGACGATTTATCACAAATCTAATAAAGAATTCAAATTCGGACTAAGAGACGCGAGCTCGAGAGAGAAAATGGTGAGCCGATTGTTTAAAAAAATTTTAGACAATGGAGGAAAATGTTTTCAGGCTAAAGTTTCTGATGTTGATGGAATGGTTTTATGGACATTCGCTTTTCCATGGATTATGGAGAAGACGCTGGAGTACGGAGATTTTGAATCAATGTGGGTTTATTGAATTTTTAAACAAATTTTCGAGAGTTTTTCGAGGAATTTTTCGAAGCGAAGATATCTTTAGTTTGGTTTTCTAACCCATCCTGGTGTGTTTTTATGACGCTTTAACGTGGTGGCCTAACTTTTGCAAGAGTTTTCTAGGCCACCGATGTTTATGGCCTAGAAATGACCTGATATTTACCTAGTGAAGTTTCTAGACTAAAAATTGTAGGTAATTTAACATGATGGCCTAATTTTTGCCAACTCCATGGCCCAGAAAACTCAACTTGTTAAAGTTAGGCCACCATGTTAAATTGGTCCAAAAACTCGCTAGGTAAATATCTTGCCATTTCTAAGCCGTAAGCATTGGTGACCTAAATTTTGTAAAACCTTGAAAAGCGAAATTTCTAAATCATTGATTTTTTTAAAATTCTGGCCTATTTTCAGTTTGGTCCTTCGCAAAGTGTCCCGTGACATTCGAAACTTCATCGATGACCCGAAAAATCGTTTTCATTTGAAACCAGTGAAGATATATATACAATTCTGTCAGAATGTAATAGCCTTGAAGTTTGGATACACCGGAAAAGGATTTTGGGCGATTTACGCGCCAATTGAGAAAATCAAAGATGGACCAATAGATCAGAAAGAAGGCTGCGAAGTGTTTCGATTAAAAAATGAGGCGGAGAGGAGAAGAGATTTAGAATATGGATTGAGAGCCGAAATCAACAATCACACGCGTTCAAAGTTTTTGGAAGGAGCTGATTCGGTCCCCACAGCTTTCAAGGATGTGGAAACGATTTTGAATTTGGTGAAATCGAAATTAAAATCGCTCTGGATAGTTTTGAAGGAGCCAAGCGAGAATTCCAACTTTTCCAAACTTTTCAAGGATTTTTTGACATCAAGAAAGTCTTCCATATCCGTGGAGCACTTCAAAATGGTAATCAATCAAGAAGAGGACGTTCTGGAAATTCTTCCATTTTTGAATCCAAAATTTTTGAAATCTATCGAAGTTAGCAATGTGAATTACAAAGAAGGAGAAGATGTCACTGATCGAATGGATATTAATAGAATTGGAGATTTGGAGCAATGGAAGTCCGCGGAAGAATTGAAAATTGCGGGATTTATGATCAATAATACGGAGCTGGATAAATTGACGCATTTTTCGGAATTGGAGGTTTTCGTAAATTTGATTACCATTGAGAATTTGTTGGCTTTAAAGAGGGTAAGTCAAAACAATGAAATACAAGTCATTTGTCATAGGATATATTGTTTCATAAGGAGCAATATTATGAATTTGGTACAATATTGTACCATCCCTTGCACCCTTGGATAATACTCCGTACCATCCCTTGTACCATATAGTAACATGCCGTAGCACCAACCCTGGGACCATACGGTAATATGGCGTATAATGTAGCACAATACCTTGTACTTAGGACGATAGCAGCCCATGGTACCGCATAAGAAACCATATTCTGTGCTATACTGAATTGTCTCAGACAACACTATTCCGTTGTCCTTGGGTACCATATGGTATCATTTTTCGCAATATGGTACCATTTTTATCAAATCATATAGTCCCTTGTCCCTAAATACCTCAAGTTATGGTACCACTTGTTTTTATGTACCATATGGTATCAGCGTTTTTTAGGGTATCATTAGGAACCATTAAAATTTCATTTTTCTTATATTCTTATTTTATCTCCAGGCTTCACCATATCATATCGGATTTTGTATCATATTTACAATATTGTCATATTTACAATATTGTAAATATGGTACTGTTCGGTACCATTCTGAAGCATATGGTACCATATTTCACTCTATAAACTTCCCGAAACTTCAGATTTGCACTCAATCCATCAAAACCTTCTCTTTGAAATACGAAGAATTGGAACAAGACTCTCTACGCGATACATTTGGTGCACCATTTCTGCAAACTGCTCCAGATAACTCTCGTCAAAGAATCTGGTACTTCAGAATACCTGGGAATTCAGAAGACGTCGTCACACTTGTCATTGTTTTAACGAAATTTTCAGTAACATTTGATAGGATTTCCATTTCTGAAAAACCGGAAAATGTTTTGATTTTGAACTGAAATTAGAAAAATTAATTTTTAAGTTTTTCATTGTTTTTTCTTCCTGTCTCAAATTGTTTTTATTGTCTTTAAATAATTTTTGTTCAGATTGACATTTATTTTGCTCAGCTAAAAATTGGCTACTTTTTTGAATTTTTTTTTTGAAAATCTTTCCAATTTGCCCACCTTCCGCTTTTAGTCGATTTGTGATCTTCCGATTCGATCAAAAACATTTTTTCATGTTTTCTGTCATTGATACATAAAAAAGAGACACATCAAATTAGTTGATAAGTACGAAATGTGACTGTTTATCATTTCGATTCTTAGATTCTTCTTTTTTCTATTTCATCAAAAAGAAAAGTGAACTGTGATGTTGATATGATAAGAAAAGAGAATTGTAATTGGTTAATTGGGCAAGGTTAATTAGTTTGGAGTCTAGAAAGTTATACTTTTTGGGGGAAGTGGAAAAAAGAAAAAAAAGTATCACAGTTTCATGAAATCGATATTTGTTGGAAATGGCAAAAATCAGATAATCTTGCGTAATCAATTTAATATCGATTTTGATATCGTTAGAATCTCTAAAAATTTCACACTTTCAGACAATTTTCAGATTTTAAAATTTAGAAAGATCTTTAGTTTTTAATGAATTTAGGCTTTTTGATTATTGATCCCCCAAAAATTATCAAAAAATCAAAAAATGCGTGGTTTGATGATAAAACTAGATTCTTGTTTGTATTTTTTTTTACGATTCTGTTTGTACATTTTTGTGACCACCATCTTAAAATAAAACTGACTAGGTTTCAGACATCAAGGTTGTCTGATTTCAAGAATAATAGTTTTTGACTTGAACGGAAAATCAAAAAATGAAAACAAAAATCAAAATTTCTGAAAAAAGAAAAAAATTACAGTTTCATTTTCATGGCAGAAGTAATAACTGTATTATTTTTCAATGCAATTATGCCCAGTAAAAGATTTTCAGATTCAGAAAAAATTATTTTCAGATTTTGAAATTGTGATCCAGGCCTGAAAAGCCGAAAATCTGAAAAGAAATTCAATTTGATTTTCTACGAATTTTTCATTTTTACACAAAATTCGAATCCAAAAAAAAATTTCAGTTTCAGAAAGTTAAGAAATGTCAAAAGATGTAATGATGTGTTTTCGAAAAACAGAGTCCGGGAAAATGTCCAGAAAAAAACCCTAAACTAAAATTCGCTGTTTTATCAAGTTTTCAAATTTTTGAGAATTCCAATTTGAACAATTTTCGACTGTGACAGTTGCCCAATATTTTGCAGAATCTCGGACTTTCAATTTGTTCCTATGTTCAAGGGATTAAAGGTTCCAGGAAGTTCCAAGAAATGTCTAGAAAGTTTGCAAGAAAATTCTTTCAAAAATCGGAAAAACTAAAATTCACAGTTTCATTGAGTTTTCAATATTTTTTCAAAATTCCAATTTGAACAATGCTTAGAAAGTAAGCTTAATATTTTCCAAGAATCTCGGAATTTCAAAAATTTTCTAAATTAAAAAAACATTTTTTCAAAAATCTCATAACTAAAATTTACTGTTTCACGAAGTTTTCAAACTTTTTCAGAATTTCAATTCGACCAATTTTTCCAACAATATTTTTGCAAAGTTTTGGAAAATCTAAATTCCACGAAATTCACAATTTCGAAGGTTCCAGGATACTCACAATCAGGAAATAAAAACTCCCTGAATTCAAATATTAGGTGTTTTTGGAAAATTTTCAAAACTTTTCTGTTCCAAACCAGACTTAAGTTCCAGTTGTTCCAATTTCAAATTTTACTGCTCCAAACCTAAGATTCCTTCTTCTTCCCCCCAAAAAACTGATTCGTTATTTTGACAACAAACACAGAATTCTCTTTTTCTACCTTCCTATTTTTCTCTAACCACTCTCCTCATTTCCCACACTCTCTCTCTCTCTCACTCAATGGCGCCATTCAATTTGAGAACTTTTTCTTCTGTTTCTTGAGGCCATTAATTCATTCTTTTTTATCATTTATCAGACGAGAAAAACTGACAACTTTGTGGTCGTTGATCCATTTTTTTTAGTGTCGCGCCACTTTTTTCCCCATCTTTTTGATCGGTTCGAAAAGAGAAAGAGAGAAGAGGCACTTTTTGTAGTCTCGGACGGACACAAAAAGTTTCAAGGTGAAATAGAAAGGGAGAGAGTGTGGGAGAAGAAGAGAGGGCAGAGAAAAGATTACTTCTTATCAGTGATTAGGAAAGAAACTAACAACCACGTGCTTTACGACTTTTTCTGTGTTTTGGGGAGAGAGAGAGAGAGAGAGAGAGAGAGAGAGAGAGAGAGAGAGAGAAAGAGAGAGAGATTTTCGGGTTGTTAGGTTGTTCGACGAAAAAAATCCCCTAGGATTTGGTAAAAAATCTGGTAAATATTTAGGTGAAATGCTATTTTCAGATGTTGGTGCCAGATACCCAACATCTGAAAATTTTAGTTTCAAAAATTAATCGAGATTTTGGAACAGGAATTTCTCCACATCAAAATCTGAAAATTGTAAAATTGAAGTGTTTTTTTTTCTGGAAAATAAATTATTGATACAAAAATTTTGAATTCTATTTCTGAAATAATTAGTTTTTTTAATGAAAATTTTTTTTTGACAATTTCAAAACTGCAATTTTTTGTAAAAATCTGAAAATTTGAATGCTGGGTGGTTTTTTTTCTTAAACAATACAACTTTTCTTAATTCGAATTTCCATTTTCTTACAGAATAAAAATTCAGAAACTGGTTTAATTGGAAACTTTGAAAATTCAGGAAATTCTAATAAGCTTGACGTATCCAAAGCTTTTGAAATGACTGAAAAATAAAATTTCCAGAATCATCGAGATTTCGAAACATCATTTCTTTTCCATCAGAGTCTGAAAAACATAAAGATGGGCGGCGGTTTTTTTTCTGAATAATACATTATTTTTCTATAGTGATTCAATACCATACTTGTCATTGAACGGGCCGAGCCGGGTCAGCTTTTGAAATTTCGAAATTCCAAGGTTTTTTTTGAAAGTTTTTGAAGTTTTCGCTAAATTTTCAATAAATATCGAAGTTTCGATACTTTTTTAAGAACGGATAATCCCAGGGAGTTTTTTTTGAGACAAAATTCGACAAATTTTTCTTTAAAACTTTTAAAAAATCAGCTACCCAGGCTGACCGGGCCGGGCCGGAATTTGACAAGTATGTTCAAGATATTTTACAGCAAAAAAAAATTGCATACAGACCTACAATTGATGAAATGTTAAAAATTCACAAATTAATCGAGATTTCGAAACATAGATTTTTTGTCGGCAAAACTCTGAAAACTTGAAATTAGGACTTTTTTCTAACAAATACATTTTTGATTAAACTTTTTTATCATAATTTCTTTTTCAATAACATTTAAAACATTTTGAAGAGTACTGAACTTCACTTACCAGAAAAATAGTTTCTGAAACTATTTCCAGTTGTTTTTAATTTTTAATTTTTAAATTCAAATTTCGATTTCCAGAACTTTTTGAAAAATTAAATCTGAAAAATATTTTTCGGAGCAAGAGTCTGCATTCTGACGTGACGGTGTACAATGATTTTTGTTTACAGAGCGCGTCGGTATGGCGCCACTTTCACATACAGTACCGGCCACCAGGACATACAGAAACTTTTTTTTCACTATTTTCAGAAGTCTGGAGCTCGGCTTTCAGGTTTCCGGTCATTTAAACAATATTGGATAAAACAAACCTAGATTGGAAGCTTTGGATTCACAGAATTTTTTGAAATTTTCTAGTTTTTCAGATATATACCGATTTCTTGTGGGGCCACAAGTTCAACTCCCTGAGAAACTTATATAAACAAAACTTCGAAAAAATAACAATTTTTCGTGTACCCCCTCCTTTTAACATGTCAAAAACATACTCCTTATTTGTACATCAACACAAAATTCACTACAATTTTCTATTTTCTATTTTCCTTCCAACTTGTTCCTTCTGTGTATTAGACACTCTAATTCCCATGTTTTTCATTTCAACTTTTTTTTGTCATCAAACTTTGAATTTCAGTTTTTAGTTGTTTTTTGTTGATGATGAGGTGATGATTTTACGTCTCATTAGGTAATCAGATACTCTACTTTAGCATGAAAAAAACAAATTATACAAGTTTTTTGAAACAGTGACATTTCTAGATTTTTGATTTTTTCGAATAGAAATCTTTCAAAATTTGAGACTTTTCGATTAAAAAAACAATTTCAAATTAATAATTTTCGTATCAAAATTGTATGTTCCGAAAAAGACAGTCCAACTTCAAAATTTTCAGAATTTGATATTAAAAAAAAATTATGTTTCAAAATCTTGACAAAATTTTTTAATTTTCATTTTCAGTAATTCTAGCCTCAGACTGAATTTTCTAACTTTCAAATTTCAACAAATTTTGCAATTTTATATTGTGAAATTTTTCTTGAATAACTCTAGAAAACATTGTATTTTTCAGAGAAAAATCTGCATTTCACATGAAAACAATTTCACTTTTTCAGATTTTTAATGTCAAAAAATGTGTGTTTCAAAATCTCGATTAATCTTCGAAATTTCTATAATTTTCATTTGTTGAATCCACAGGTCTCCTAAAGCTTTTTGGAATTTTTGGAATTTTAAATTTTCTATGTTAAATTTTGAAATTTAACCAATTTCTGAAATGTTACACTGTAAAATAAGCAATTTTGAATCACTTTATAAATAAGATTTTTCTCTTTTTTTACATTGAAAATGTATTTTCCAGAAAAAACACCTCAAATTCAAAATTTTCAGATCTTGATGTTCAAAAAAGTTTTGTTTCGAATATTTGATTAATTTTTGAAATTCCTGTTTTCGATAATCGCATACATTCGTCTTTGTTGAACTTTTTCTAACTTTTTCAATTGGGTAATTTTCCGAATTTAGACATTTTCTGGATTTTAAACTGTAAACAAATAATCAGTTTTGAATGAATCTAGAAATTGAATTTTTAAAAAGCATTTTCAGATTTCGATTTTTAAAAATTTCCGTTTCAAAATCTTGATTAACTTTTGAAATTTCTTTTTCCATAATTACAACCTTATAATGAAATCGTACACTGAAAATTTTTAAGAAATAACTTTAGAAAAAAAATCGAAATTTGAAAATCTGAAATATTTTTCTCTCTCTCTCTACCAGTGTTGAGCGGAATTCCGTCTTCCGTCTTCCGTTTTCCGTCTTCCGTGGTTTTTTCGTTCCGTCTTCTGGCTTCCGTCTTCCGTCCTGAAAAACTTGCTCAGTCTTCCGTCTTCCGTCTTCCGTAAACTCCGGAAGAATCACAACAAACGGAAGACTAAAATATTTCAGGATTTGTCGAATGTTTAGTCAAATTTTCTAAAATTTTTTCGGCGGATCCGTATAATTGCAAAAGCGATGCGAAAATTCAACTCTAACTTAATGTCCAATTCAAAATTTCCAAGGTTAATTCTTAGATTTTCCGTTTCCCCTCTTTCGTGGATTTCCTTCCGTCTTGCGTAAAAAAAATTTTGTTCCGTTTCCGTCTTCCGTCTTCCGTGAAGCTAAATTGTATTTCCGCTCAACACTGCTCTCTGACTTTAACTTTAATTTATTTATTTCAACGAAGGAGAGGAAACCACTAACACGTGAAATGTCTACGAATCTAGGAGATATAGCAGGGGCATACATTTATAGTAATTGGGAGATGAAGGAAAAACCGAGTTAGTAATTAGTTGAATTCAAGACAAGAAAATGTTTTAGATCACTGGTCAATAGTCGATTTTTGAAAGCCGCTGACGAGGGCTTCACCGGAAACACTTTGGCGGGTAAAGAGTTCCAACATCTGATTACTCTATTAGAGAGAAATTGAGAAGATATTTTTGTTGAGTTCTTGATGAGTGATTTGAGATAGTATTTGTGACGTCGCAATGATCCAGCATGATTAAATATTTCAAAAATTGGAACCTCCATGATAATTTCTTTGGAAACAATAATTTTATACGTGTAGGCCAAATCCTTATAGAGTCTGCGATACTCCAAGGAACTTAGCTGACATTCTTCCAGTGCTTCAAAGTATGAAGTGTATGCCATCTTGAATTTTTTGAAAATTCTGAAAACAAATGACTTTTGCACCGATTCCAATTTTATAATATGATCTTTTAGGATTGGAGAAGTGACTATCGTTCCATATTCGAGTAAAGGGCGTATGTAAATTGTATAGCATTTTATAAAAACACTCCACGATGCGTTTTTTAGAATGGAAAAGAACATGTTGATTCTCTGATGTGATTTCCGAATAATCAACGAATAATGATAATGGAAACTCAGGTTACTGGAATTCTCTACCTTGAAATAAGACTCAACTTTCCAGGAAAAAAAATACTGTTTCATTTTTGTAATTTCAGCGCAATCTGAATTTCTATTTTTACTAACAATGCTTTAACTTTGTGAGATTCTCCGGTTTTCAATTTTTCAAAATTCCCGATTTCTGCTCACTGGCCACCTAAATTTCCCTTCCATCTGTTCTGTTTAAAATATTTCCCTCTCATTGGTTTACGTTGTTTCTAAATTGTTTATTTTTACGATTTCCTTCTTCTTCTCCGATATTTTCCCAAAATTTAGAATCACATTCGTTTAATTTTACCGTTTCAAAGTGTACATAATTTTGTTGGATTTGAATTTTAGATTTTATGTTTCTGCTCCGACTAAATTTCTATATTTTCTGAAAAAGGGAGCATTGTTGTCGATTATAGATTATAAACGGTCTGATGGCACAAGAAGAAGAGCAAACGGTGGTCCGATTAGAGCCCACCACACGGGCGGTATGTGGAGAGAGAGAGAGAGAGAGAGAGAGAGAGAGAGAGAGAGAGAATATAACTGAATGAAAAAAAGAAAAAAATGTTGATAAGAAAATGGAAATTTGTTTTCTCTTCTCGTTTTTTTGTGTGTCTTAATGGATCTTATCAATACATCTATCTTTAACAGAATACTGTGAAGATTCTAGAAGATGGAAAAAAAGAAAAGGGCAAAGTTTAGTGGAGATTTTTGATTCTCTTCTTCTTCTTCTTCTTCGAAAAAAAAATCAGAAAGAATAGTGTAACAGAATACGAGACGCAGCAAAAAAATAGATAGGGAGCGTTGGGATCAAAATGTGGTGATAAGAGAGCTGAAGTGACAGAGATCAAAAAAATTTCATGGGTTTTTTGTTTCTTGATTGATAGAATGTGTGTCATTGGGAAAGTGAGTGGAGTTTGAGAGCAAAATTTGATGAAAATCGAAAGTTGTTAACGAAAGTGTTGGTAAAATTGAAAAAAAGGTCACCTTAACAGTCAACTTTGAGCCCATAGATCTCGGTATCTGTGAAAGATACCAGAAAGTGATCAAATGACGAAATTGTTATCATAATAAAATCATTTTGTCAGTTGACTACTTTTTGATATCTTTCACAGGAACCGAGATATATGAGCAAAGTTGGTGGTTTGGGTGTATTCTATTAGAGTTTTAAAGATATTTGAAATCAGAGATTTCAATTTAAAAAATTGAATTTCTAAATAGTGTTTTTGGTTTTTCCAGACATTTCCAAAATTCAGATTTTTCATTCAAAAAATTATCTTTTTTGATACCAAAAACTCGAAATAACCAAAACTTTTAAAAAAGCTATAAAATAAAGATTTCAATTTTTTTTCAAATTTGAAATGAGAAAACAATTTTTTGAAAATTTTTGAATCGTGTATAACGAATTGAAAGCAAGTGAAACTATAAAAGTTAACATAAATTAGAAATTATGAAACTGTAAAAAAAATTACTTTTTCCGAAAGTTTTCAAGGTTACAAAATATTTTGGTTTTCTCGATCCTGAAGGGACAGATAGTTGCATATTTTTGTTAATTAAAGGTGGGGGGACAGGAGATTTTTCGTAGTTTTTTTGTAGCTAGAGTATGCATTCTACCGTCACGGTGTACAACGCTTAATGTCACTCTGCGTACAGCTGTCGTCCTCGCCTTTATGTATGCAATCGAGCGTGCGCTTTCTCTTTGCCCGCGTGGCTCAGTCGGTAGCGGCGCCGCACCCTCAATCATCGCCCTCACAAGTTCAACTCCTCGAGGGGCATCTTTGAACGGAATTTTGAGAACATTATTTTTTCATGTCCCCCCACCTTTAAAAAAATGTGAGAATCGGAAAAATCGGTAAAAATACTTGAAAATTCTAGAAAATCGCTTTTTCAAAATCCTGGGCCCAAAATGCTCCTAAAAATCAAAATCTGAAGATTTCAAGGTTGTTTATCCTGAAAAATATTTTTGAAAGTAATTCGATTGAACGACATCCAGATAATTATCAGGTGAAAATATAAAATTAACCACAAAATAGAACATCTGAAACTGAAAAATGTTTACTTTTTCAAAAAAAGTTTTCAATTACCAGGAATTTAAAACAAAAACTGATTGAAACAGTTTTAAAAAACGCCATATTGAAACATGACCGGTTCTAAAACATCCGGTTTCAAAGTAATCAAAAATAGAAAAACAAGTTTTAAACTAACTCTATCAAACCACATGTAAAGAATTGGAAGAAACAAGTAAAAAATATATAACGTACCATAAAACTGGAAAATGTGAAACTGAAAATTTTCGAAAAAATTACTTTTTTCAAAAAGTTTTCAGGTTTACCAAAATGTGTAATTTTTTTTTGATAATAACATGTCAAAAAAATCAAAATCGAAAGATTTCAAATATGTTTATTCTGAAAAAAAGTATTTCGAAACACATGAAAATATGACAATATGAAAATATAAAATTCACCGAAAAATAGGAACTCTGAAACTGATTTTTTTTTCAGAAATTACTTTTTCAAAAAGTTTTCAAATCTAACCCAATTTGTAAATCTCGATCAGAATGAAAATCAGAAATATCGAAAATTACAAGTTTTACTTTTCAACTTTTCGATAATTTCAAAAAAGTTCGAACAATGTAAAAATCCAACTTCTGATTTTTTAAAAGTATTTCTAAAACATTGTATGAGTTTTTGTAGATTTTATAAAATACAATTCTCAGCTTGAAATCTAGCCGAAAAAAATAGAAATATTCTTTTATTGATTTTTGATATTCACTCAGACAACCTATCAAACTGAAAATTCAAATACTCAAAGAAACCAAAACGTTGAAACTGATTTTTTTAAAATTAAAAATGTATGTTTCAATAATATTTAATTTACCCAGAATTCAAAATTTTCACTATTATGAGAATCTTGAATTTGAAAGTTTTTTTTCAAAAACATAATATCAACATTTCCGTTTCATCAACATTTTAGTAATGTGAAAAATTTCGAATTTCATTTATCGCTTACAAGTTTTTCTCCCATCTCCCGTATCCCTTATCTCACATCATCTCAATTTGAGATTCTCAAAAACAATCACACAAAACCGCCAAAACAATTTTCACCCCTCTCTATTTCTCTAAATCTCTCTTCTCTCTCGTATTGTGTGTCATTGAAACTAACGAAAGATCACCTTTTTTCTCTTCTTCTCTCAAAAAGTGGGCGGAGCCGGTTTGTCTCGACTCCGCCCACTTTTTCGACAATTTCCATCCTATATAAATACCCATGAAGCGGTACTGACTTAAGCATCAACACACACTTGGCTTTTGTTTTCCGATTTTCATCTGGTATGTCCCTTTAAGGTCCAATGTCCAAACTTTTTAGTATAGAATCCAAAAGTTTCTGATAACCAAAAAAAAAACTAGATTTCCTGATAAGAACCGAAAACTGACCACGTGAAAAAGAGGTGATCTTTTTTCTAGGAGAACTCAAAAAATTACACTGTTTCGTGTGGCGAGCGGTGCTGGCTGGCTCACGGAGCACAAATGTCAAAGTGCATTAGTGTAATGCTAGATGGACCCCCGCCTAGTGGACCCCGTAGTGTATGGGGTGACTTCTTTTTTGCAAATTGATGGAAATTTTTGATCAATGCTCACAGACTTGTCTAGGAAAAAAATATATTTAAAAAAAATTTTTTTCCGTTTCAAAAGTTCGAGATTTTTCTAGGAAGTCGGGGTTTTGTTAGTAAGTCAATAATGGGCAGAATTTTTTATCAATGCTCACATATGAACTAATCTAGAAAAAAATTTGAAAAAAAATTTTCGGTTTCAAAATTTTCAGAATTCCTAGAAAGCTGGTATTTTGTCAGTTCATTGAACATAACCGTGCAACAAAAATAGTTTATAGCACGTGCACTTTTGCGGGACGGTGTACACTGACTACCGTACCCCTTTCAATAACTTGCTCACGAAAGAGCTAGTCTAGAAAAAAAATTTCGGTTTCAATAGTTTCAGAATTCCTAGGAAGGTAGTATTTTGTTAGTTGACTTATTGCTTGGTAATAGTTTATAGCAAAAGAGTGCATTTTTGCGTGGCGGTGTAGTGTGGCTATGGCTACCGTACGCCTTTTCAAGTGCTAGCTTAGCCAGCACAATTAATTTTAAGGAAACTTTAAAAAAGCTTTTTTTTTAAATTTTGCTGTTTCAAGGATTTGGCTTCCTCATTGACAAAAATTTTAACCTGATCTGAATATAATTTTACATGAATAATTGATATTGATTGATAATAAAAAACAACTAAAACGAAGATTTCATTAAAACAACATTATAGCAATAACAATTTCCAAAGTTCTGGAAACAGTAATTTTTATCTTTTTAAGATTTTTTAGATCAGACTTTTTTTTTGGAAAAGTAAAAATAATGGCTCATCCGAAAATATTGGTATTATAAATTTTTAGAATTTCAGCTTGAAATGTTGGGAACTAAATTTTTTAAGAATCGAAATTTAAAATTAACAATTTGAAACAGTAACTTTTTGAACGATATTCCGATTTCCGAAGAGATTGGGAACTAGACATCAAGCTCCAGACTCCTGAAAATAGTCAAAAACGTCGAAATTCAAAACGCTTCTGTCTATCTTGAATTAATCTGAATTTTGATAACGGAAAACTACAAAAACTTTTTCAAATCTTAAATATTCAGAAAATTCAAAATTTCAGCTTCATTTCTAGTCAAAAATCATTCGAAGAGCTCAAAAACTAACAAAGTCATGGTGGTTTTC